CATATATGTTTGCAAATGTGCCTGCGGTGGCGGTTGCTGTTGCATACTAGACGGTTGCTGTTGCATGCTGGGCGGTTGTTGTAAAGATAATCGGCGAAAAGCCTGTTCCGGTGGCGACATGGCCGAAGAATGACGAAGATCTTCTCTTAATTTTTGCTGCTGCCGGTCGGTTATAGCGCGAACAAGATCGTTTCTCTCGTTTTGTCGATCATCAGCAAAGTTACGAGTAGTCTTCAATAAGTTTTTGATTGAGTCTGATAGATCATCGTACCACTCGTGACCTTTTCTAATAACGAGAACAAGATAAATGGATTTATTCGAGACCATAGAACATGATTAAAATCATTATCTTACATACGTGAACCCTTCCTTGACTTCGAAGTAAGTATCTTTGGCTTTTCTGAATCGCTCAACGACTTCTTTCCTCTTTCGTTCAGCTAGTTCCCATTGGTTCTGTACCGCTCGTGCTTCCTCGCCTTCCATCAAGCTCTTATACAGAGCATTCAGTTGGTGTAATAGCTTTTGTTGTTGATGGATACTGGCTGTAATCCTAAGTTTATACGGAACAAATTTCTCGAGTTCAGTTGCAAACAATTGTGGCTCGATGTTTTGAGTCTTCTTGTTTAATATAAGCAAGTGCGATATATCGTCTTGGTGTGTCTGATGAATAAAAACACCAACATTAGTCACCGAACATATTAATGAGTTGAACCGAAGATTTTGTCGAACACATACCTTTTCTTTCAAATCGCTTAACGTGTCCATGCGCTCTTTCCTAACCTTATTCAAATTTCCAATGCATTCTTCAATTTGACGCACTTTGGAGGACATGCTCTCTTCTGACTGAACATTGTCTATATCCAATATGTTGTCAGCTCGTTTTCCATTTACAGCAGGCGTATCGTTGCTCATTGAAGCCAAAGCTTCAGCAAATGCTGTCTCTAATCGATCCCCATTTGCTCCATCGTTTAAAATAGAAATATCGTTCATGTATTGATCTAATATCTGAGTAAAGCGACGGTCAGAGGTTCCGGCCTGATCAAGACTTTCCCGATGCTTGCGTAGATCCTTTAGAATGGGAAGAGTAAGCGATCCGGATGTCACCTGAGTCCATTCATCGCCATACTTAACCTAATACAGTCATCCGATTAGAGCCTTCAGGAAATCACATACAAAAAGTGCGCGACAAATGCAATACCTAGACCCAATCCAACATGTCTTTCTTACCCTCATTTCTTCACATGCTCGTTGCTCCGCGTCTAGAATATGTGAGATTTCGTCCAACATTTGTGTAACCTTATTCTTTAAATCCTCAACAGTACTTTGCAACACGTTAATTGGAATCTTGTTGATTTCTTCGTCTCGAACACGATCTGCCCATTCACAAACTTCTGGTGTAGGGGTCGCCAGCTCGTCCAAAGATTTCGTGCTGCCTGTGCTCTTGAACTTTTCAAGCATCCCGGGTAACTTCATATCAATCAGGGACGTTTCTAGTTCAGTATTAGCCGAGTCGCATCGTTCTGTTTCGCCCCGGACAATTTTTGCCTTTTCCTCGGAGTATAATGAAGCAGATTCATGTACCGAATACGGGATAAGACGTTGAAACATATCCGGACCAATTACTTTCTTGATTTCATTTGCGTTATATAGTTCCTGAATAGAAATAGGTTTAACAGCATTAATTTTATCTATTGGAGTAAGAACGCTTTCTTGCGGTACAGCGTCATTGTATATTATGTCGTTATCATGTGTTGCTGATTTTTTCTTTTCGGCTATCAAAGCCGCATTTGCCTTTGTGAGCTCTTGTAATGAAGAAGCAGCATCTGGCATAAGAGTCTGGGTTGATGAAGGAGAAAATGATGATACAAAGCTGTTTGCAAGTTTAGTGGCTTCTTTCGCCAAAGTATCAGCAACATTGAGACGCGCAACACATTCACCGTATTGAAGCTCTGCTTCGCACGCCAATGCTTTTTGATATTGTGAGACCGATGATATATATTTATGTTTTATCTAAAAAAAATAGACTAATTAGCTGTAGAAAAATTTTTAAAAACTGGCATGCAGTATTCGATTATATATATATCTACTTACTTGACATACAGACAGCCAACTCTTGTCAAAAATGCTCTTGTTGACAAATTCAGTCATATTTTCTACAATATTGCCATACGACCATCCTGCCTGCGCAGCTAATTTAGCAATAAGAACAGACGACGTTTTCTTGGCACCGATACTCTTTTCCAGAAAGCACTCTTGAGCCTGCGTCAACATAAGTTGCGACAGCAATTTAACGACTTCGCGACTCAAATCTGTTGAGGGCGCATGGAGAAAGTTATCGTTTATGTAAGCATACATTCCAGCAGATGCCTGAAAGTACGTGGATGAGTGTTTTAACCCATCTGATTCGAAGCGATTCTGCGAAGCTGCGATTGCAGATAGAACCGCTGCAATGTTGAATATGGTACTGGCTTTCTCATATGCAAGAGAAAATTGAGAAGTTGTTTTTAGTGTAAAGGCGTCGTACCTACGAAAAATAGTTGGAGTCAGTACGTTTTATGTTTCTAAGAAATTCGAATATTCATGGATGAATTGAAGTAGTTAATCAAGAGGTACATTCAATATGCATCTTCTGCATATTCAAACAATTCCTCACCATGTGAATGATATCCGAATATGGCTTTCATCGACTGGAAACCTCAAGTCAAGTAATTCTAACTGGCCATAATATCTGTATAACAAGTCTCTCCCAGTCAGATCCTTCCCGGCCCCTCTCATATCTTGCCGTAGACGGTGTATCGTCATGCATTCGTCAGCATACTTCTCCGGGTCTTCCTGATACGTCGTGTGTATATATCGTTTCAACGGTGTTGCCCAGTCGACTTCATCCGTCTTCTTGGACGGCGCATGTATCATAGGACTTTGATTCATATTAAATTATTAGATCTTGTTTTAGCACGGGTGAAGAATTCGCGGACAGGCCGAAAAGCCAAGTGCCTCGCCCACAAATGATCTCTTCTTATGCTACATGTGCATGATTGGCCGTCGTGTAAAATAATGACGTAATTACCCTAATAAGAGATCATAAAGCAAGCTATTTTGGATATTGTATTAATAGCGAAAGGAAAACTTGTCTTTTGATTTTATTGATGCCAGCCATAATAATTCTCAACAATTGGTTGTCGCAATTGAGGTCTCGTTTTGAAGTTGGTTCCGAATGAGTAATTCTCTAAGTCGCAGTATAATTATATACCCGTATGTGCACACAACCCACTTCAACGAACTGTAGTAGTAGCTTGTCATAATAATGTATTTATTATTAAACGCAATGAACTTCCAACATCCTTGTTGATTGCAAGTAAATACGATAACTATTTGCTTCTTGAAATCTCTTCGATCTGATTAGCATCATTTGTACAATAGCTAGTAAGACAATACTACCAATACATACCATCTCAAAAGTCTCCTATTTTGCGATTAATCCCCGAAACGATAATAGCTGTTGTAAATTGGGAACATTGCTTCTAAACGTAGTGAAGTGAGGACGTTTACTTAATCGGAAAAAAAAAACTCTAGTTGCGCACCACGTTTATATTGACCATGAACTTGACTATTTGAGACGGACTATCTGTGACGGTAATAATAAGGATAAACAGCAACTTTTTTATTTACGGCTTGCATTTCCCATATATAACAACCATTTTTGTATGATATCATCATCGAAACTAACTCAACATCACGTTCGGAAAGAAAAAGTTATTTAAAGTTGTTAATCTATCCTAACGTAGTTGTAAGACCGGGTTCTTTTGGAAGATAGTGCGTGCAACTGCGTAGCTGTACATTGGTTTAAGAAAGAAACAACAAACTCTAAAGCGGATGTCATAATTTAGTCGGTATATTGAGACTTATAAGATATATTAAGAGACGTGTAGCCTTGACAATAGCCCATTTCAATGTTCAATCTCTCTCAACAACAAACATGTGGCTGAAAAGTTCTGATCGTGGGGCTGTATCACAGCGAAAATCAATCTAATCCAAAACGGGAAATGGAATTCGTTTCAAGCAACCGAAATTCATTTACTCGTTGTCGAGAAATCGCTTTCTTTTTTCCACCTTACTAAAACAATTGAGTAATGAATATCAGCGATATTATGTTTTTGTTTCCTGAAAAACGCCGCGATGCAATCAAAATCTATGAAGAATTATCCATTGTCACAATTAGACAATGGATTGTTAGGTTCAAAGACGGGGAAACTAGCGTTGATGACAAGCCTCGTTCTGGACAAACAGTGACGTCAGAAAACATCGCAAAGGTCCACGAATTTGTAACTAATGACCCCTATATTACTATACGAAGATTGGAGGACGTAAACGAATTGACCATATTCTTCATAGTAAGCTACAGTTCACAAAAGTCTGCGCAAAATAGGTTTCTCATAAGCTTTCAGCGGAGCATAAAGAAAAACGTGTGGAAATTTCTAAGCAACTACTGGAAGTACTTGAGAAAGGTTACAATAATATTATTACTGAGTATGAAACATGGGTATATTTCTTCACCGTTTCGAGTAAAGAAAGCAATAAAGTTTGGTTGGAAAAGGGAAAAACAGACCGCAAACTGTCAGGACTGCGAAAAACTCGAAAAAAAAAAGTTCGTTTTCTTTATACTGTAGAGGGTGTTGTGGCGAGAATTGTTGTTCAAAAAGGCAAAACTGTTAATGCTGAACTTTATAATCAACAGAAGTTTTTTTCAAAATTTATGGAAAAGAAGGTATAACCACTGTTAGGGAAGTGATGTTGCACCATGATAATGCCGTGCCACACAAGGCGCCATATAGTAATAGTCAAACTTAGCTTTTTGTAATTTTTACTTATTCCCTAAAATTAAGCAAGAACTGAGTGGATATGGAAGAAGTTTTGATCGTATCAAAAATTTGTCAAGAGCTGTTCAGGAACTGTCAATATTACAAGTCATTCAACAGATGGAAGAATCAGCTGAAAAAGTGTATAGAAGCAGGGTGAGAGTACTTTGAAGGAATGTCATAATTATTTTGTTGGTTATCATTGGATTTGTCTAAATAAAATAAAAAACACATGATCAGAAATTTTCAGGCACCCCCATGTAATTGAAATAAAATTTGACCAGGACAACAATCTAGGTGTGATATCAGAATGGCTCATATGATTCAAAATTAATTCCCAGTTGCCTAATAATTGGATATCATCAAGCAGGAATGAATGCATAGATTGTCGTGACGTTACACGTGGGAGAGCAATCGTGTAACCTCCTTGAGATTTAGCGTCTTCCAACGGCTGCTATCGGCAACGCCTACTAATGCTAATTCTTCTGAACGGTTAGTGACCTTTCCTTTTTACTATCTTTTGGCAATGATCAGCACTAAAAACTGCATTCTATTTTAAATATCTATTATATATATATAGTAGCTAGTAGCTATTGTGGCCACAGAAAATGCTTGTCGGAAAGGCTGTGCTTATATATAAAAATTTGGGAAACAAAATATTATATTTACCTATAATACAAAAAAAAAATAATCTAAAGCGTTGGTTCACAATAAATAATAACAAGTAAATTATTTATTGCGGAAAATTGATCTCTATTAGTAAAACGACTCTCGCAAATACTACATTGATTTTCGCTGGTACACTAATCTCTAATTTTGTTGTTTTATTCACCGTACAGCGACTAGGGACTAATTTCTTCATTGATACATAAAAATTACATAAAGAAGTAGATTGTTCTATTCACAGTTAATTAAAATGCGCTTACACCAGCTAAATTCAAATAACGTTAAAAATAATTTGTCTCCTCACTCTAAAAACTTACACGAAATATGTTCTGTTCTATTCAACAATCCATTTTTAGCTATTTTCGTAAATAAGATTAAATGATCAACCTATTTTGGATAAGTTTAAGCCAGTGTTATCAATTTAGTATACTAATTTATTTATTTTTTTTTTTTTTTGCAATCTCAAATAATGGTATGTAATAATAGTTTATTTATGTGAGTAATTATGAATGTAACAGTATATCATCTTTACAAATGTCGAATATTACAGTATTATGCTATTTTGTTTATACGATGTACAAAATAAAGTTGCACATCGAATTTTGTACTACCAATGACATACGCAAAGTCAGTATATTGCATGTACAACACATTATTGATATAACTAATTTATCCATTATTATTAACTGAATACTTTCGGAAGAGAAGAATGTACAATTATCAGCTGGGATTTTATTCACATGATACAATGAACAACATTGACAAATATTATGTCATGACACTAAATAATACAAAAGGTGTGCAATACAGACTACTATCTGTCGTATCCGTTGTTACCTACAGCTATCATAATCCGTTATGTCGCTGTTATGGTACATTTTGTTGTTACAAGCAATATTCTCTTAGTATAGTTGGTATTAATTGACTTTAGTTTGAGTGTTAAATATATACTTA